TATTATTATTATTATTATTATTATTATTATTATTATTATTATTATTATTATTATTATTATTATTATTATTATTATTATTATTATTATTATTATTATTATTATTATTATTTTTATTATTATTATTATTATTATATTATTATTATTATTATTATTATTATTATTATTATTATTATTATTATTATTATTATTATTATTATTATTATTATTATTATTATTATTATTATTATTATTATTATTATTATTATTATTATTATTATTATTATTATTATTATTATTATTATTATTATTATTATTATTATTATTATTATTATTATTTATTATTATTATTATTATTATTATTATTATTATTATTATTATTATTATTATTATTATTATTATTATTATTATTATTATTATTATTATTATTATTATTATTTATTATTATTATTATTATTATTATTATTATTATTATTATTATTATTATTATTATTATTATTATTATTATTATTATTATTATTATTATTATTATTATTATTATTATTATTATTATTATTATTATTATTATTATTATTATTATTATTATTATTATTATTATTATTATTATTATTATTATTATTATTATTATTATTATTATTATTATTATTATTTATTATTATTATTATTATTATTATTATTATTATTATTATTATTATTATTATTATTATTATTATTATTATTATTATTATTATATTATTATTATTATTATTATTATTATTATTATTATTATTATTATTATTATTATTATTATTATTATTATTATTATTTTTTATTTTATTATTATTATTATTATTATTATTATTATTATTATTATTATTATTATTTTATTATTATTATTATTATTATTATTATTATTATTATTATTATTATTATTATTATTATTATTATTATTATTATTATTATTATTCTTATTATTATTATTCTTATTATTATTATTATTATTATTATTATTATTATTATTATTATTATTATTATTATTATTGGGACAATGTCTCCCACCACCATATTACTTCCTATAGTATTATTTAAAAAAATAAAATGTAAACTATTAAAGTAAGTCTGTTTGTCATTAAATGTGGTGTGCGTTAATTGACTAAAAAAAACTAATAAAATCTCAATTTCTTTTCTTTTAGTTAAATAAACATATATGATTACAATGCACTAATTATTAGCCTATCTTGAATCTAACCTTATAATTGTTATTTGCTTCTCAGAGTTGGAATATTCATTACGACATCATATGATGTATTCTAATAAACTTTAAATATCGGGTTTCGATTCTAAATTGTAATTGGAATATTTCGGTTTGGTTGCTATAGTGTCTGTTTGGTTTGAACCAAATTGTAGTCATAATTTGTTGGAGAAGAAAAATAAATATTTATTTTAAGGATAAATATTTCAATTTAACATTTTAGGGGGAAAAACATCCACTTAAATAATTCAGGGGGGAAAAGTGCTACAAGTATATAACTCAAGGAAAAAAAGTGTTATTTTCCCTTAATATAATTTGTGTATATATTCATTTAAACCTCAATTATAATTAATTTGACTCCACATATATAAAAATTAATGAGAAATTAGATATAAAATAAACATAGTTCTTACATAAATAATCTTTTTCAAATGAATAAGTTTTTTTGTGGAGATTTTTGAGAAATATTGCCTATTAATTTATTTACAAATTTTATTTAAATACGTTAGCTATATAATTAAATTAGTTATTTCAAATTCAATTTCAAATTCAAATTCAAATTCAAATAATAATACAAGTAACAATAAACATTAAAATCAACATAATAATAACATAATTAAACTTTTAAAAATATTAAATATTACATTGTATAGTTATACTTACATTTTTAATAGAACTAATTTTGAGCTGAAGAAATCAAGTAAGTTTTTTTGTTTCTACAACCATTACTTTCTTTGCTAATTTAGAGGATGTCAAAAAATTAATTGGTAAATTTGTTAAATTAATAATAGTCCATGCATTGCACGGGACAATTACTAGTAAATACTAATGACACGTTTGGTTCGCAGAATAGGCTTGGAATGGAATAGTATTCCCAGTAATAGGTCAATTCCTTTGTTTGGTAAAAACATATTGTTCCTGGAATAACCTATTCCCCTTGCAAGAGGAATAGAGATTTATGGGGGACCCTTGGTATTAGGCTATTCCTGAGTTTTCAGGAATAACCTAAAATTGCTATTTCCTATTTTACCTCCCAATTAAATTTATTTCTTATTTCACCACCACCACCACCGTCACCGCCACCACTACCGCCACTACTACCACTACCACCACCACCACCACCGCCACCGTCGCTGCCACCACAGCCGTCGTCGCCACCGCCACCACCACCACCACCACAAAACATTATTTACTAAACACTCATTTTATTTGTTTAACCAAATCAAATATTTAAAGTTTGTCAAATAAGTCAAAATTTAGCTGATAAGTTATGTACCAAATTCTCCTTACTTTGTTTCGTTTACCATTTTACATTTCACAACGCAATTTTGTTCTTTATGGTATAAATTCATCAATTTTTCAAGTTCAACAAAAAGCACTTAGAACTAGAAAGGAAATACACGGCGGGAAATCAACGATTTTTCGATCACTGAAAAGTGGTCAGGAATCGCCAAAATTCGGTCAGAAACAAGTGTTTCGACCACTTTTGGGATCTTCAAAAACGCTTGTAGAGATTTCCGACTACCTCATGCAGTGGTCAGAAATACTGGCCACAAAAAGTGTGGTAAAAACGTTTGTCGCATGGGAAAGTTGCGTGATTGGAATTTCCGACCACCTATTTGCACAAACTATATATATATAAAGTGTCTAACAAATTCAATGATTAATTAATTATTAAATATAAAATGATACAAATAAAAAATGACTAGGATGTCCCTCAATAGTTTGAAAGTTTTTAATGCATTATTAATATTAGCATAATTTGTTTGTGGTTACACATAATTAAAGGGGAAAATTTGTGTATGGTAATAATTCATAGACCAAGTCTACAATCTAGGTATAATTAATGGACTAAAACCATTATTTTTCCTTTATTAAATGAAATTCTAGTTGCTCCCATTTTTGTTTTGCATTCCTTAATTCAGCTTTGTTGTGTATATGTTGAACTGATCAAGTTTTCTATTTTCTATGCTTTTCTAAATTCGATGTAACCGACTTAAAAATTAAGGTCATCTCCAATGTAGCGTCAAATTGTCAAATCGCCAAAAAATTTGTCGTTTTTCAATTTCAACGTAGTGCCAAATTGGCAATTTTTTTGTCGTTCATAAACAGTGTTGTGTCAAATATGACTGATAAATTATATACCCTGAGTTTAGCCTCTCCATACGCTCCGTGCCCAATTGGGACCGATTCGGGTCAACGGGTCAAAGTCAAACCCGCCAACCCTTTGACCTATATAAAGGGCTTTGGCCCTCAATATTAAGGGTCCTCTCCCCTTCTCTTCATTCTCTCTACACACACCCTGCTCTCCCTCCCCCTTTTTCTCTACAAAGAACACAGGAGCAACATTTAATAAAAGAAGCCAATTTGCTACATCTTGTCTTCCTTGTTCATACACATACATACATATCTACACTCTACGAGTACAACCGGCAACCGGAAATTAGTACTATCAATGGCGCAATATTGTTCATCCGATCCACGTCATTTTTTGGTATAATTTTTTATTTTTGTTTTGCTCCTACTTTTATTTGTTAATTCCTTTTGTATCTTTTATTTTATTTTTATGTATTTATATATTTTGTTAAATACTTAAACATAAATTTTATATTATTATAAATAAATTATATCATTTGAAAGATCTCATCAAGACGATTAAAACAAGACTAATATTGAATATAGATTAATTAAAATTTAAAATAAATCAAGCATAACAACATAAAAATAATGTTACTAAAAAAATTATTATTTATATCACAAATTATATTTTATATTAAACTAATTAAATTCAAACTAATAAAATTTTAAAATTAGAGAACCCATATTATTTTTATTGTAGAATAGCATTTGATGTAGAAATTTAGCATTTGGTGTATTGGGTTGAAGATGAATAAAATTTGGTGTAAAAATATGCTGAGAATATTCTTTTTGATGTGACATTTGGTGGAAATTTTTGGTGTTTTAGTGTTAAATGGGTTGGAGATGCTCTAAAGATGCTATTTTGAAATTTTTGGAGGTACTTCGTAGTGTAGCTCAAAATCTCAAACACACAAAATGCTGCATACTTTGAAGCTTAACGCTCATTTAAAGAATCAAAGTTTGAAATGCTTTCCATTAAGGGGCTAGAATTCCAACACTTGAAAAGGCTATCATTATTTGTTACGAAATGTTTGAAAGCAATAAGGAATTTAATGTTATGTAGAAGCTTTTGCATTTTTGTCTTGCCTTAACAAAAGTAAAAGTAGTTTATATTTAATGGGTATCCTTTAAAGTTAAGATGAATGCAGTACTGCACAACTTCTTTTTAGTTTGAGTAAATGTGGTATGCTTCTGAATACTCTGAACTATCGGTGGGCTGCTCAATAATCTGAACTAATACGCATAACACAAATATACATGCAATTAGAAAAACAATTCCTTTTATACCATATGCATATAAAATATATAATATAGAATATTATTTTATATTATATGTGAATACTGCAAACAGAATAATATGCGCACACAAACTCACACAATGAACCGCTCAATGTTAGAGCAAGAAAAGGCAGCATAATTTGAAATTTGTCACAAGAAAATCAGCATAGTTGAATTACTTAATTAAATCTTCAAGAATGTAAAAATTTCATGGAAACACCATTGTGTTGAAGTCACAAGAAACAATTGATTGAGCAGTGAGAACTCACATCATCTGAAGTAGTAACAACAAGTACAATTAACAAAAGCAAATAGAGGAGCATTCTTGGACAGATACCTATGCTGAACAACTAAGGAAACATTTCAACTTCCAAAACAACCATTGCTTACATTTCTAAGTTGCACCGAAATTAAACCCCCATGGAGATTCACCACACCATACTAGGTTCCTAAAAGGCTAAAACCATGGGTATAAATCCAAATAATCCTCACGATCATAGTAATTCGCACAGTAATTACCCGTGCAGACAATTTGTGCATTTGGAGATGCACGAGGGAAGCATTCCAAATTCCTTAGGATTTTGCTCACCTCAGAGTCATTCATATCCCAAGGCTTCAGAATAACAACTCTCTCTAGCGCAGGGGATTTCGAGAGCAGCATTTTCATAAAAAGCATTATAAGTGCGGATTCACGGAATGATTCAATCTTGATTGTGTTAAGCATCTTCAACTCTTGAATAACAAGGCAACCATCTAGATCCTCCAAAAGCCTTGAAGCAACTTCTTTGCCATCCCACCAATTCCCCCAAGCTCTATAACTCAAGAAGAAATGTAAGAAACACACAACTGTGAGGACATTTGGAAAAGAAAAAACAAAGAATCAAGCATGATATATTGCCAAATGCATGTATACTTAACCTCTGCTTATCCACCATAATTAATTCCTAGTTCACATAGGTTGGGGCATTTTTGAAGCACTTGCATAGCAACGGTGACCTGCGTCCCACAACCAAACCTTAATCCATACAGCTTCATCACTTGCAAATTTATTGCAGTTGGAATCATAGATACATCCATCTCCATACACTTGAAAAATAGAAATAAAGAAATAAAATTAGCCACCACAATAACTTTAACAAGCCAGAAGGTATAGAATTATATGTATCCATATATCCATTTGCATAAAGTAGAATGAGTTAGATTCTCAGTCGCAACAAAGAGCCAGACAACCAAAGAGTCTTAATGGCTTTCAAATGAGGTGCCAACCATCTCGAATCAACTCATCCAGAACGAATAACAGACAAGATTTCAAGCTTTGGAGGGCTGATCTCAAATTTATTGATCCCATGACAAAGTTCCAAAGCCAGCTTCTCAAGTTTAGGAATACTAATACTAGAGGCAATTCCATTAACACTGTGCTTAAATTCAACATGGAAGAAAGCTAATGAAGTGACTGGAAAATATACCAACAGCATTTACAGGCAAATCAATAAAGAGAGCGTGGACTATCAGTTGCTTAATCGTCCTGCAAGAGAGTAAACAAAATGGCAGCTTATATTCCACTAAAGATATGTTAAGTTCCTCCACACCATTTCTTAACAGAAAAAGACACCACTTATCGAAGTCAGACTGCTCCGGCTCAGGACTCTCTCCTTCCATTATCTTTAGAGTAAATTTCTTAACCGGCCCAGTACGGAAAAAGATGATATTATTGATTATGTTCACGAGGGTTAAGCATTGTTCAACACTACGCAAGAAGTCCAAATCGAACACAAGCTGCCCATGCTGCAACCAAGCATCATTCTAGTGCCTTGAGAGCAGAGCCATTCTGGCGGCGTCTCGGGTGGGCAAACACTCCAAAATTCTGTCCTTTACCTCTACCGGCAGCTCACTTGTTAAATCGCTTATAGGCTTTCGCCGAGCCATTAAATTGGAGACACCAGAGAGGCGATTCTTCGCTAAAATCGAAATAAAAACCTAAAATCGTTCCATTCTTCGAGGGAAATTTGGGAAGAAAAAAGAGATTGGGGGAGAACTGAGAAGGGACGAAAACGGGCCGGAAACCCTCACCATGGTTTATTACTTTATTTATCTAAATATCAGTTTCAATAATTTATTTCTATTTAACAAAATTTAAAACTTGTTCGGAGTATTAATTCATTATATGTTTGTGGTGTTTTTTTTTCTCAATTTTTTTAAAAGTTTGTAATTTTTTTCTCCTTTTAAGTTAGGTTTAAAAATTAGTATTTGCACCCGTGCAATGCACGGCTATTTTGTTATAGTATAATTTAAAAATATGAAATGCTCAATACATACGAAATAACAAATAATACTTTTTTACATTAAACAGAAATACAATTATAAATTACTAAAAGAGTTAATACTCATTTTGGTTCATCCACTATTAGGTAATGTGTAATTTAGTCCAATACTATTTCAAGTATCCAATATAATTTAGTCTTCAAACTTGTAAAAGCATATCCAATTTGGTCCTCCGTTGAGAGAGGACAAAAACGTCCTTTTATCTAATAGTCAAGAGACCAAAATAGGTATTAACTATTATTATTATTATTTATTATTATTATTATTATTATTGGGACAATGTCTCATGCCCCCATATTTTGAGCCGAATTAACAATTAATCGAAATTTTAAAAAATATTTAACCATTAATCTAATCGAAAAAATTCGGTTACAAACGGTTAATCAAATTTTGTCTATGTTAACCAAAAATTTACCCAAAGTAAAACTTATAGTGTGTTCACTTATTGTAAATGTTTTTGATCGATTACTGAATGGTTACTTTAGGATTATTTAATGAATCACACTTTAAACTTTCATGCACTACTTGACTAATGAGTTAGTTGTTATAAAGTCTTATTTAATGGACATTATTATTGTGTATAAAAAAATAATAATAGATTATATGTATAATATCTTTTTAAAAGATTGGGCCCTAAAAAATTTAGCAATTATACTATGGATCGCGGTCCAAAAATGACATCGTTGCTTTAAGTAAAGAAACGGCCCGTCGTTACAGTAAACGGAGCGCGCATGTTTAGTATATTAATTACCAACTGAAACTACAATGTATCTAAACTGACACTGCCTTACGTATTATTTTTATATTATCAAATGAAACTGCAATTGAATTGAAATGAAACTGTAGTTGTGTTGAAATGAAACTGCAGTGTATATAAAATGAAACTGAATAACATTTCACATATTTTAGTGTATATTATGGAATGAAACTATAGTTATATCAAAATGATAATGTATTTATATTTTAATGAAACTATAGTGTATATAAAATAAAATTAAATAACATTTTCACATATTTGAGTGTATAAATATCGAATGAAACTGTAGTTATATCAAAATGAAATTGTAGTTGTATTGAAATGAAACTGCAGTGTATACAAAAGGAAACTAAACAACAGAGTTACTTTTTGCGGAACGGTGTGAAATGGGTGCCGTTTCTTTTCATTAAACAAAACGACGTCGTTTAGAAGTTCGGTGCATAATCCATTATGCACCGCGGTGCACGATATAATTTGCCCCAAAAATTAGGGGCCAGTTGCCTTGGCCAAGACCGACCCGGTTATAACAATGTCTCATTTCGACAAACACTCCAAAATTCTATCATTTACCTCTGCAACTTAGTTTGATTCGTGGAAAAGAATTAAAAATGAATTGAATTTAAAATCCTTGGAAAACAATTGATTCTATTATTTGGTTGGAAAGAGATAAATCATTGGAATAATTAGTATAATAAAATCTCAAATGCTCATATTTAATAAAAACATTTGAAGGCAATATAGGAACATACATTATATTTTTCCTCCCAAAATATTTAAAACAAAATAAAATACCGAAAGAGAACAATAAATTCATTTTCAATTCTCTTATAACCAAACAAAGTAAAATATGATTTTACTCCATAAGCACTACATGAAATGTCATCATCACTCTCATCTGCTAACTTACCCAATAAAGATCCAAAAGAATTGAAGAATAAGTGGGTGAGAAGCCTAAGCCATCCAGGCCAGTTGGGACTTGGGGCTCCTGCAGTCAAAGCATACAAACTTATAATACATTAAAACATCATTGCATTGAACTCATAAGAAACACTTGGCTAAGCACCCACATCAGCTGAAGTTTACAATTAACTTAACCAAAAAAAAGGGTCATTCTTGGACTCTACTGCTTGAGAGAGGATACAAAATGCCCTACAAAATAATACCATCCATGTCTTACAAAAAGTTTAGTTTCAACTTCCACCACAGCCATTGATTACATTTTTATATATTGCATCCTAACCTATGGAGCCACCAACGTAGCGTCAAACTAAATTCGTAAAGCTCAGAGTGACCAATCAGAGTATGTGTCCACCAGTCCCTCTTGAAGACGAATTGTGCTTGCGGGAAGCACAACAACTCCCTTGAGATATCGGATTCCATAGTAGAACCCTTTCGAATAAATACTTTCTCAAGTTGAGGGGATTTTGAGAGCAGTGCTTTCAAAAATAGCATTTCGAGTGTGGATCCACTATGACATTCAAACTTGATTGTGTTAAACTTCTCCAAAACCTGAATATTAAAGCAACCATCTGGATCTTCCAGAACTCTTAGTCTTGAAGCTTTGTCATCCCTCCAACTTGACTACAACTCAAGAAGAAATGAAAAACATGCACAACTCTGAGGAAATTTGAAAAAAAAAAAAAAAAAAAAAACAGAAGATTCATGCATGATTGCCAAATATATACTCAACCTTTTCTGCATTAATCCCCAGTTCACATAGGTTGGGGCATTTTTGAATCAATTGCATAGCAACAGTGAGCTGCTTCCCACAACCAAAACTTAACTCATACACTTGCAGATTTACTGCAGTTGGGAACGTCTGCTGCAACAGGTTTACGCTTCAAAAACATATAATATCAAGGACAGTGTTGATGTGCTTTGACACTGGTGTTTACCACAGGCCTAATTTATCTCCAATGCAATTTGGCATTTCAGTCGAGAGAGAAATTGCATTGCACGATGAAATTAATTTGCATGTCATCAAACATCATCATGGGCCTAAGGGTAAGGATTTCACAAAGAATAACATCAACACTGTACTGGCAGAAGGCGTGCAAATTATGATGAGATGTTCAAAGAATGGGAGCTGCGGGACCTTTGTGTTCTCAACCATGATGGTAAGTTGCGTTGAATATTTAATATTTTCTTTATCTATTTATTACAAGCTAATTTTCATTTTATATGTCTAGCAATGGGCGATGGTGGAGGGGCCCCATCCGAAGATACGGAGCTTGGATTTGTACAGGGTCCTCCCCTGTCCCCCCGGCCCATAGTAACTGAAATCTCCTCCGGGGATGAAGATGAGCCCGCCATTGTATCCGAGTATCTGTCACCTGACCATGCCACGGCCGAGCTTCCGGGTTTGATCTTCATTAGCTCGATTGCTTTGTTACTTCTCTTATAACGACCATATATTTCGTACTCATTTTTCAATTTGTTGCAGATATGGGCGAGCCCCCTATGTCTTGTGAGGAGATTGTTCGCCAATTGAAGTCTCGTGCTCCTGCTTCCAAAAGACAAAAGACGGGCGAAAGTAGCCGGGCACCTCCTATACCTCCGACCACCTCACTGAGATGGACTGTGGACCTTCCTCCTTCGGCATCAATCATACAGCTCTTTTTTACTAAGGCATGCAGTTACCTTTTTTACTAATTTGTTTACAGAAGAGGATTGTTTTGGCTTTGATGAGGCGTTGCAGTCAATCTCAAACTGTTTGTCAGAGAGTGAAGTTGCGATGCTTACCTCATTGGTATCTCGCCAAGAAGTTAAAGACGCTGTTTGGTATTTAGACCCAGATAGAGTGGCCCGACCTGAAGTAATTTTAAATTTGATGGTGTAGATGTAGGACATACTTTTGAAAGTAAGATACATTTGCAGGAATAAAGATAGCCTTATAGTTAAACTCTAGGATTTTAAGAATCTAATTTTGGAAATTTTTGAAACTAAAATTCAAATGATTAATTAAGTATTACCAATATTAACAATAACAACAAACCAAACTTAAAGGTCTAATTTTAATTATTATGCCTAAAGGTTTGTGTAAGGACGATCAATTGCTCGAACTCGTGACCTGCTATGATACAAATTGTTAATATCAGACATTTTACACTATGTCAAAAACTATAGCTAGTAGTAAAAACATAACTTCATTTCTTTATTATACTTGTGTAGCAATCAACGTCACGTTTCGATGGCAAGATACTAGATTTGACTCTCCGAGCCACCGCCCAATACTTTGAAAACATTCTGAAAGGGATATTATTCTCATAACATTGTTTGCATTGAGTAGCTAGAAGGAGATAGAGGTTTGGCTGTGATAAAAGCAAATAAGCTAAACTAGAAAAACCAAAGCCAAACCACTCCTACACAACCTTTAACAGGGGCGCCAAAACCATTTGGACATTTGGCGACGCATCAACGTGTAACCCAAGATTTGAATATACCTTTCGTTTGTCATCAAGTTTGCACAACTATTAATTTCATGATAAATACATCATGCATATTCTACTATTTCAATTCGTACAATAATCGATTGTAGTAGCCTGTTATAGATCTGTGGTGTCTTTTTTTTCTATCAACAAATGGCATCTAGGAACTTAACATGTTACCAAGAACGTAACATATAATTAAGTAACCTTAGCTTAAACTAACCCAAATAAATTTGTAATAGTACATTCAAAACTAGTAAGCTGTCTCACAAACCATTACACACTATTGAACATACAGTACAAAGAGATGCATAAGATTAAGATTATTTTTTTTTTATGAAAACAATTTCTACTTTTGTAGAGGCACACAAAAAAAAAAAAAAAAAAAATTCTTTTACGTCTAATTTTAAACTTGGTATGAATTGGAGTAAAATATCCAACTATATTTGATCAATGACAACATTCACGATTCCAGAAAAGCAAGCAAGTAGCACCTTGATAGATTGCATATCAAACCTCCACCCATTAAATAGGCTAAACTTCAAAGTCAATTTTTGTGTTAGAGACACACTACTAAGTTCCTCCAAAAGAAGGAAAAAAAAAAACAAAAACAAACAAACAACAAACATAAAAACAAACAATCAATCACTTCATAATTTACATAATTCCCATGCATGCCTAACTTAAAGACTTAACATATGTTATTATATTTAGTCAATATGCTTTTGCATTTTTTTTTAATAGTAATTTTATTGTGGTAGGATGTACTGATGGAGTGATTGTTAACCTGGAAGGTTTCTAAGCTCAATCATACAATAATATCCTTTTAACTAGAGGAGGACAAATGATATTAACAGTTGTGATTGATCTTTCTTTTCTTTAATTCTGAAAGGGAAAATTGTAATTTATGCCCCTCACAAATATGTCAATTATCAATGCCATCCCTGAATTATTAGTGGTGTAAATGTTGCCCCTCAATTTTCAAAATGTGACATATATTGCCCCTCCCCTAATATGAAGAAGGAGAAAAATTGTTGATGACGGAAGGAGAACAATCGAAGAAAGAAAAAATGAGGAAAAAAACGTGGTCTTCGAACAAGAAAGATGACGGGTAACCACATTTACATCACTAATAATTCAGGGAAGGGGCAATATATGTCACATTTTGAAAATTGAGGGGTAATATTTACACCACTAATAATTCAGGGGTAACATTGATAATTGACTTATTCTTGAGGGGCATAAATTACAATTTTCCCATTCTGAAATCTTGAATTGTAAAATCATTTTTTTTTTTTTTTTTTTTGCATGAATGGTTGATTATTGGATGACATTATGATTCCTTAATTAATTAGAAATTTTCTAAACTCACTCTAGTGACAAAATATGCCATGGACCAAAGTCCAACTTGCATTGTAGACCATGATTCAAAACCCCTCAATCAAATCCGCATACCATATAATTTCTTTATGGATACCTTACAAGTCCAGTTCTATAAGGCCTCCCTAACTAACAAATGGGCAATCCACAAAAACAAAGAACAAAAAATGCTTTAACTAATTCCCTAACTTCATTGACAATCAGATCAAACGAAAGGGGGTGTATTCAATCATGACTTTTGTAGATTTTTAAAGAATTTTAAACTAATAGATTTTAATAAACTTTGATTGACTTTCATAGAGCCGTTCATAACTTTTTAAAACTTTGTAAGACTCTATAAAAGTTTATATAAAAAACATTCATAAACTTTTATCAACTTTTTTATTTTAAAAAGTCTACAAAAGTCATTAAAATTCTAAATTGAATACATTCTTACAAACTTTCAATGATTTCGATTCTTATCATTTATAATTTTCTTACAAAACATATTATAATATATATCATAAAAACAAGGTGACACTGTTTGCAACCCCAAATTGTTGTTGCGAATAGTAGTTTGCTATTCTAAGTAACATGTTTTTTTTAAAAAAAAAAAATTACGAATATAAACAAACAAAAAAAGAATAAAAAAAAATAAGTATTTATATGAATATAATGGAACATATAGTAAAATTTGAGAGATGAAAAATTTGTTTTGTTCATGTATTTAGGGAGAATTAGAGAAAGTTTAGAAGTTACAAGAAAAGTTCGTAGAGAAAGTTTAGAAGTTAGGGATAAAAAGTTCATAGAAAAAAAAATATAAAATCAAAATAAACAAGCAATAATGAAGTAAAAATAATATTATATTATTTCAAATTTTTAGAGGAAGATTGTAAAGTTTAGGATAGAGAAAAAATGGGTAGAGTTTAAGTATGAAGAAAATGTATGATAATGAAGAAAAAATAATTTATTGAATTTAGGTATAAGGTTTATAAAGTTTAAATAGGGGGAAAATAGAGTTTAAATAGAAAGAGAAAACATGCAGAATTGGTAGAACAAAAATTTTAAAATCTTGGGATTGATTGGATTTCAACTATTTATATTTGAGAAAGAAAAGTCTACAAAAGTCCTAAAATTAAAAAATCTACAAAAGTTAATAACTTTTTGAATACCGTATAACTTATCGAATACCACTTGACTTTTAAAGACTCTTTAAAAATCTTGATTGAATACAACTTGACTTTTAAAGACTCTTTAAAAATCTTGATTGAATACCGCCTAACTTTTAAAAACTCCCTAAAAGTTTAAATTGAATACCTCAAAACTTTTAAAGTTCATAAAAGTCGTTAAAATTAAAGTCTATGAAAATCATGATTGAATACACCCCCGAAGATACCAGAGATTGATTTTGGATCCTATTCAACACCTAAAGACAATTAGTTTCAACCCTGGACATCATCTACATTAAGATTCTTCAACCACTTTAAAGCATCCATGTCTTCAATTGCTTCTGCTTCCCCAGGTTTGAAGAACCCATGCCATGGTATTTTCTTAGCAGCAATAAAACAACCATTTGAGTCCCTTATAACGTAGCCAAACCCCATTTCTCAAGCTGACTATTATTGGGTATGGAGTGGAGTTCCCCAGAATTAACCAAGTAAACCAACGTCCAAGAAAAACAGTAGCCTCCTCAATGACTGCTTATAGATTCAAAATACTTTACAATATAATACTTATTGAACCAATGCTTACATTTCTAGGTTGCATCAAAATTGAATCCATGGAGCTTCATTATACTAAATTCCTACATGTTTAAAACCATATGTAATCAAATAGTTTGGACTCCTCAGAGTTGTCGCATTCCATACAAACAATCTGGGCTTTCCGAGAAGCACGAGGAAAACGCAACAACTCCCTTAGGCTTTTGACAGCTATAGAGGTATCAATATCATCATATTCCTGTATTAAAACTCTCTCTAGTGCAGGGGATTTTAAGAGTAGCATTTTCACAAAAAGCTTTTCAAGTGTAGATCCACTAAACCAATCAATCATGATTGTGTTAAGAATCTTCAGATCCTGTTTAACAATGCATCCATTTGGATCCTCCAAAAGTCTTGTAGCCATTGTTATATCACATAGCTACCACACAACAAGAAATGAATAAATGAATAACACATACAACGACGAGGAAATCAACAAGGAAAAGAAACAATCTTGATTCCAAATATATATAGATAGTCCATAGGTTTCGTATCTTACACCATCACCATTTGCTAGCGTAATCTTCAGCTCACATAGGTTGGGGGAATGTTGAAGCAACTGCAAAACAAAGGCAAGTTGCTCTTGACATGAAACACTTAAATCATACAGCTCAATCACTTGCAAATTTATTGCAGTTGGGAATGTCACTGTGGCTATTTCTGCATTTTTACACTTGAAAAAAAAAATCATAGAACACTGTCAATACTTATAATCATTCCATTTGCATAAAGGAAGAAAATGCAACAGTAGAGATTCTCACCTGCAACAAACTGGCACACAAGCAAAGAGTCTTAATTGTTTTCAAATAAAGGGTAATCCATCTGGATTCATCAAGAATGCAAGACTGATAACCAATAACCCTCAAGCTTTCAAGTTTTGGACTACTGATCTCAAAATTACTGATCCCTTTACAATTACTGAAAGCCAACTCCTCAATATTAGGAATTGTGAACACAATTCCCTTAACATTATCACTAAATTCAACTTTCTTGAAAGCTAATGAAGTGACACTGGGAAATATACAACTAGGGATCGGAAAATCAAAAATGAAATCGCCCAGACACAGCTGCTTAATTGTCCGGCAAGAGAATATACACGATGGCAGCATATAGGTAGGCCAAATAAACAAGTTAAGTTCCTGTAAACCATTTCTCGAAATAAAACGACACCACCGATCTAAATCAGACTGCTGGGGAGGTTGCGATGCATAATCAAGGTATAGAGTAAATTTCTTAACCGGTCCAGCACGGAGCATTAGAATATCATTTATTGTGTTAATCTGAGCTATACCTTTCTCACCTCCGTACTTGGACTTTGAGAAGCATCGGAAGAAGTACGGATCAAACACAAGTCGCCCATGCCCCAACCAAACATTGTTCCAGTGAGTTGAGAGCAGAGCAGTTCTGGCAGCTTCTCGAGTAGGCAAACACTCCAAAATCCTTTCCTTCACTTCTGCCGGTAGTTCACTTATCAGATCCCTTCCGGCATCCGCTTCGGTTTTTCTCCGATGACGATTCGCCATTAAACTGGAAACAGAAGTTAAAATCGCTCGTCGATTTGAATTCCAATTCAGCCCACAAGGTTTTGGAAACAAAAGAATTTGGGAAGAAAAAAGAGATTAGGGGAGAAGTGTTTGCTACTGCCTAGATGTTTTGAAGAAACCCTCGCCTTTGCTACTGCCTAGATGTTTTGCGTTAGGAAGAAAAGAATACTGCGACGCTTGGCAATTTATGTCGTGCACCACGGTAGCAATGTGCGCCCATACACAAAATAGGCACGTTTCATGCTGATGTTATACTGACGTCACTCCGTCCATTCGAACAGACAAAATCTCATTATGTGTATTCAATTAAAAATTTATGTGTATTGTGTTATGAATTTATGTGTATTCAGTTAAGAGTTTATGTGTATTATGTTAACCAAACCCCATTATGTGTATTCAGTCAAAAGTTTATGTGTATTATGTAATGAGTTTAAGTATATTCAGTAAGAGTTTATGTGTATTATGTTAACCAAACCCCATTATGTGTATTCAATTAAAAGTTTATGTGTATTATGTATTATGTAGATCATGTGTATTCTGTTATGAGTTTATGTGCATTCGAAACAAAAGATTTTTTTTAACAACTTAACACGACGTCGTTTTGAGAGGCGCGGGACGCACAGTGCTATAAGCACCCTCGCGCACGGTATAACGAGTGGCGACTCTTGATTTGGCCCTTGGCGGCAACAATGGGCTAAATTGATTCCAGCCCACTAATAATACTAATAAATCATTGGGATGTAAATTATGCAATTATGCCGTAGAAACATGTTCACCATGCTTGGTGAACACGTTTCGAAACGACGTCGTTTTACAGGCATAACTTAAAAAAAAAAAAATCACTGTGCTATTAACGGCATTAGTCGCGATTTTGAAGGCAATTTCCATTATTGTTTTTGGCAGTTTCAATTCGCTATTCACTTTTTTTATTCCATTCGCTATTCACAATTTTCTTCTTCCATTCGCGATTGCTTGATTTGATTTAATTGGTGATTCGATTTCAGCGATTCCAAGTTTGTTGAATTTGATTTCTGCGATGTTTGCATTTGATTTTCTGCGTTTGATTTCGTTTGATTTATGAGATTTTAACATATTGAATTTGAATTTGAATGTATATTTGTGTTTGTTATTGCGAGATTGTGGTGTGAGCGTTATAATATATTAAATGTGTGTTTGTAGGATTTTTGTGATTCATGGTGATTATTTGCAATGTTCTTTATTTTTAGTTTGTTTTTACTGGTGTTTATTCAGTATCTATTGCAATTTGAATGTCATTAATGTCACAATTGTTATTAATACTTTGTTTCTGTTATGAATTTACAGTTATGAGATTATGACTTTTCTGTTATGCAATTATGAATTTTCTGTATGAGATTATGAATTTTATGTAATGAGATTATGAATTATGTGTAACTGTTATTGATGGACAATATATTCTTTTTCTGTAGAGTATGGCTGGATTTATTCGGCATTCCCCTTCCCCTCTCTACTTAAATAAAGAATATATTTCCATCAAACTCATTTCAATTTTCTAGTATATTATATTCATTATAGTTGAACTGCACATTCATAATGTGCAGACTTGTTCTGTAGATATTGCTGGCCAAAAGTTAGTAGTTGGTATAGTTGTGGTTATATATATATATATATATATATATATATATATATATATATATATATATATATATATATATATATATATATATATATATATTTTTGCAATTGCAGTTGATGAAGATTTGGTTGATGTTGTAGTAAGTAATAGTGATGGAGCTTTTGAGTTATATAATGAATATGCATACAAAGTTGGTTTTAGTGTGAGGAACAGGGCCGTTCCAATAAAAAATGGGGTCCTGTGCAATATCTTAAATTGGACCCATTTTTCAAATAATTTGTATATATAAATAATAGCTGTTCAAAAAGTTGTGTAAAAAATTTAAAATATAAATATTGTATAAAAAATTAATCTAAGATTTCATTTAAAAAGTGACATGCATCGTGCACATTTAAACATAAAATCATCCACCAAACTTTTGATATCAACCTCTTCTAAAATCTCATTTTCAATAGAGATTAAAGCTAATCCATTGATGAGTCTCTCTTGCAACTTATTTGATCGTAAATAATTAAGATTTCAACAATTTAGAATCTTACACAAGAATATCTATTAATTTAGAATCAAGAACATCCCAATTTCTTGGATTATATATGTCAAATAAAAGCGAATCATTTGGTTTATCATTGTGACCAACATCATCTAAACAACTATCAACATTCTTAGTATTTTCATTGTCACAGTGATACCTATCATCGTTGTGCACACTATCATTTAAATTTTTTCCAATCTCACAATCATCTTGATCTTCTGTATGAAGATTTGCATCTAACAATTTTGCTTGGCATCATCTTTTTGCACATATATCTGAGTTTCTTTTGTAATGAATTTTTCAAGAACTCCCTTTTGAGATTGAGTTAGTTGCTCAATTCTTCTTTTCTTTTTACGCTTCTCAAACCCAGATGAATATTTTCTAGAAAACATAATTATAAAATCCTAAAGAAAAAATAATAACTTATTTAGAAACTCTTTGAACAAATAATTAATCAAGAAACAAATTCTTAAATATATATATATTCTGAAATCAGAATTATCAAGTCATGTAAATAAAACAATAAACAAGAATGGTGAAATATTTAATAATTTTAATTACTTGTTAAAAGAATTGAAGAACTTGAAAATTTGTTACTTTATATGATCAAGAAGAATTGACAATTCTATCAAATTCTGTCTATAGTCTCACTCGTAGTCTGTTTGTGAGATTTGTGATTTTGTATAAATAAGCATTAAAAGCTTTTGATAATGTTGTAAATACTCAATGAACTCAAGCCAATTAGCTAATAACTTCTCGTAATTTGTCACCTAGTCCTCTCTAGGGTTTCACGTCGATTTCTCGACCTTTACGTACGGAGCAACTCTCCGGTTAATCAATTCACTTTTCCGACGCAAGATCGTGCGAAGATGGCAGCGAACCAGAATGGAAGCGGTGTAGCAGGTTTGACGGCGAGATGGGCTGACCTAGTTTTGGAGGAGGAGGCGGCGGCTTTTATGCCGACAGTGGACGTAGGCGACGACAGTGGTGGTACCGACACCGTGGAGGAGGAATGGGCGGTGGTTGGACGGTTCCTAACACGGAAACTGGTTAAACTGGAATTTATGAGCCAGGTTATGGCATCTGTATGGCAACCGGTCAGTGGTGTTGAAGCTACGGAGGTGGAGCCTGGCCGATTCTTATTTATCTTTCATCATGTGACGGATATGCAGCGTGTTCTGAATGATGACCCATGGTCTTTTGATAATAGCACTTTAGTATGCAACCAGGTTCCGGATGGAATGTCGCTGTGTGATGTTGAGCTTGATTCGGTGGATCTATGGATACAACTACATGGGTTGCCGAAGGGGTATGCGTCTGCTGTGATATTAGAACAGATTGGGAATTTCTTGGGAAAGTTTGTCAAGGTGGATGATCGCTTCGATAATGCACCGTGGAAGATTTTTCATCGAATTAGGGTTTCGTTGGCTGTTGGCAAACCCTTGAGGAGGCGTATGAATTTTATAAAACGAGATAAGACAAGCTGCTGGGTGAATTTCAAGTATGAACGCCTGCACACATATTGCTATTTTTGTGGACTTTTGGGACATTCATACAAATTCAACGGAACTTTTGGGACATTCATACTTCTTTTACCTAGGTCAACGGGATACCAATTCAACTAGCATGCAATATTTAAGACTCATACAACCTACGAACGGTACCCGAAATATCAAACTAGACATAGGCACGATATACGGAGTCCGTTGGGACGCCACGGGGGTCGGGGAACATCAAACGGGGAAGCCAAAATCCCAAGGAGGGGTATTTTCCAGTGGGTAGCCGGTGGGTGAGGGGTCACCCGCCGGCTGCCCGCCGGTGGCGTGATTCTGGGCAGCGGGTGCCCGGCGGGCAGCTGCCCGCTGCCGGTGTTGCCCATATTGGCTGCGGGTAGGTGGCGGGTCCCCTACCCCCACCTACCCCCCACTGACTCTTTTATCACAAAAAACGCCCCGGGAACCATTGTCGAACCCGAAACCATGCTTAGATACTTACAAACGCAATTGACAACAACACATAGACAATTAACGGATCCAAAAGCAAGAACATATGGCACATAACCTATCATGCTTTTCTAAACATAATCAACACCCAAACATACGAATTCCCACCCAATATACCAAGAATAATACCATACGAGTTTCCCGATACAACCTAGGGTTCTAATTACTTTTATTTCAACAAGAACACAATTCATCTTCTAATATCAAGATTCGGTAGGAATATCACATAAACATCAAGAACATCATATAATCATCAAGAATATCAAGAACACCACATAATCATCAAGAACATCACGAACACCATATAATCATCAAGAATATCAAGATCACCCACGGAATCACAACACCAATATAACGAATCATCAACACATAAGAATATGGGGGAAATCCTAAGAGGGGAATCATAGCTATGAAAATAGGTTTTGTTGAGACATGGGTTACCTCTTAGCCTTAATTAATTCCTTGGCTATGAAGGGTCTTTCTTTAAGCTTTCTTCTTTCTTGATTTCTCCTAGGGGAATTCTTGGAATTCTTGGTGTGGTGAGAGATTATTGTGGTGGGGGTTCTAGGTGCCTCCTATGTTCCCTATTTATATATCTAAGAGTCTTACTTAGGGTCCAATTACTATAGGCTTGCTAACTCTATTCCTTTTAGGACTAGGGGTTGGGTTTAGAGATGAGGACCCACGGACTATGGTGGGCCTTTTCCTAATTAATTATTGTAATTTAATTCTTTCTTTTGGGCAATTGGTTAAATGATTAATTGGTTTTAGGGGTCGTAACACGGGGTGTTACACTCTCCCCCCTTTACAAGGGGCTTCGTCCCCGAAGCCCGGTGTGTTAATCCATTCTTTCACCCCTGGACATCCCGTATTTTGGCCTCCTGGTTAGGAATGTGGCCCCACGTTCTGTCTTAGCTGGGGTAGACTGGACTTCTGGTGGTGTGGTGATAGGAAAGCTTGGGTCTACCTCGGTCTC